AGTGACTTGGTATCAAGAAGGGGATTCACATTTTTCAAGTTTTCTGCCAGCCAGCTATTCTGGGAAAGAAAAAAAGTATTTTGATTTTTTCTCTAGTGGAAGATTAAACAGCGAAGGAGTTCTTACTGTTGTCAAATTCTGCATTAGTAAATGGAATCGAATCACTCTACCCAAGACTCACGTCTCAAGTGAACATTCTCACTGAAAATGCATCCCCAGAGACATTTTCCTCCACATGGTCCTTATGCCTGTTCAGGCTGTGAAAGTTTGTCAAGCTTAAGGTGACCATCTTTTGAAAATAAAGAACAGGGATACTTTTGTGATTGAAGTTCTATAGTGGTACTTCATAGCAGCTATATAAGAGGCATTTTTCAATGCTGCCAGTTTCATGAGGGGCAGGATTCTGGCACAGGTGGGAGGCAATCCTCCTTCCTGGAGCAGAAAAAGCTTTCCAACAGCAAAGCAGCACAATCAAGTCACCACACATCCAGTGCTTCACATTTAGCTTTTAACCTGAGCAGATGTTTGCTACTCTCTCTACACAGTAGCTCACCCTATTACACTGCACAAAAAGTTTTGCCCTTTCTGCTCCTATTCGGGTGTCTCAAATGTTATCTTGAAGAGGCAGTGAGAAGGACAGAATAACAGACATTAGGAGGTTGTGGATGCCCCATCCCTGCAGGCATTCAAGGCCAGGCTGGATGTGGCTCTGGGCAGCCTGGGCTGCTGGTTGGTGACCCTGCACACAGCAGGGGGGTTGAAACCAGATGAGCATTGTGGTGCTTTGCAACCCAGGCCATTCTGTGATTTTATGAAAACAAGAAAAATACCACGGTCACAAAGGCTAAGAGCCAGGTGGTAAGCACAACAAGCTCCGGGGTTGTGCCACACATCTCTTTCCCTTCCTTGGCTCCACACCCTGCAAACAGAAGCAGATAACTAAGGTTCAGTCTTTGACAGGCTCTGCCCAATCACCTGAATGTGGAGAGATGGACCCAAACATCATATTTGTTTCCTTTTTTGCTTCAAATCACTCACTTTACTCCGTCAGAATCCCAAACTATACGTTCTGAAATAACATAATAATGTTTTTCTACCCCTCCACCCTCTTTTTTTTTTTTTTTTTTTTTTTTTTTTTAAAGGATCCATCCCACAATGGAAAATATTTGCACTTAAACATAAGTGAGAGCATGTGAAAGATGCTATTACTGAACAGTGACATTTCATGCTTCCCCTCCTTACAATTAAGCAAAAGTTTCAAAATGGTAGCATCTGTAGTAAGCACTACAAAACCCAGGAAAACTTTAAATAGGCATTCTAAGGTTTTCTTAAGCATGCCTATTACAATCATTATATGTGTATTTTGGTTTTGTTTTTACAAAATTCCCATAGATTAGTGTTCAGTGTGCCACATTCAATATGTATTCACAGTATGCATGCATCTACTGAACCTGCACAGCAGGATCAGGGTCCAAACCATAACTAGATTGGCTGTACGTTCATTGAAAAAACACCTAAAGCACAAAACACATACACATTTCCCCAAGCCACACTGTGTCACAGACTTCAAGGGCCATTCTACCTTTACTTTCCACAAGGAGCTCTCATTGAAGTCAGTAGGAGTGCTACACACAGTGCTGCTGTCAGACCTGTGCCTGAACAGAAATAATGCCTTGAAAATATGCCCTGAAGTTGAACTCCAAGCTCCATGAGACAAATAGGTAGGGAATTAATCCCAGAGCCAAGCATTCCTTTCCTCACTGCAGTGTCTTGTCCCCAGCCTCCTTTCAGTAAGAGGGGTGGCAGTCAGCTGCACTGCCTGCTGCTATGCCATTTGAAACCATAGACTGGTTTAGGTTGAAGCTTAAAGCCCATCCAGTTGCAGCCCCCCGCCACGGCCTGGTTCCACCCACCAGATCAGCTGCCCTGGGCCCCATCCAGCCCGGCCTTGAATGCCTCCAGAGATGGGGCGTTCACAGCTTCTCTGGACAATCTATTCCAGTGCCTGCCTCACCATTTTCTGAATAAAGAATTTCTTCCTAACATCTTACCTGAACACAGGGAGAGTCACTGAATCCTATATGGTACCGAACATCTCCCAAGTCTGACTAACTGGCAAACACTGGTAGCCCAAAAGCCTTTACGTGAGCTGAGAGCATCATTGCTTAAGGCATGCAGGATCAGCTTGAATGAGGAAACAGTACTGTTTTTTCTCCTATCTTCCAAGGATCTGGAGCTCTTTGGAGCAGTTACCTGTTTTAGACGAACTGACTCTTCCTCAACATACATGCTTTTTAAAGTTCTGGTAACATGCAAAATATTTTCCAACTATGCTGACAGTTGGGTAAGAATACTTTTGCTAATGAACAAAGTACAAGAAAAAAAAAAAAATCACAAAAGAAGGACATAACATTTATGGAGGAATTCTTTCTGAGGTAAGCTTGTCTGATTTGTCCATTGGTACCAGATAGCCTGATTAAGCTACCACCCTGCCTACAAACCTTGTCCTCCCACAGCGCTCAGCTCACCACACTTACAGCTAAACTCCTGTATCCAATTTTATTTTTCTTGTTCTTCCCTTAGTGCAAAGGAAGTGAAACTCCTAAACAAACTGAAAACATACAGAGGACAATTGGGAACATAACACCATTTCAGACAATGCTTACCAAATTAAATTTAAGCAAGTCATTTATCAGATGAACTGATCAAGAACAAGTCAAGTTGCCTTCATGACTCGGGGCTCAAATAAGCACTTCATGAAAATCTGTTTGTGTATTTCCATTCCTCCCTTTCTGTGGCCAACTTGGGTTACTTCTCTTGCAAAGAAGGGTGACCGGCATGTGGCAGCCTGACAAATGCCAAGATAAAGGCCATCCAAGCGATGGGTTTGTAAAACAACCAAAGCTGTGCAGATGTGCAGGGATCCCTTCCTGAACACATCAGACTAGTTCTGCCTCATGCTCTCAGCACAGCGCAGATTTTGAGAGGTGCATTGATGCACAGGATCCATCATAACCTAGATATTTTGTCTGCATTCAGAAGCATTACTATAACACCAGACTGAAGTGCCTACATTTAATTAACAAAATGATCCTTTAAGCACCACAGAAGGCCTCGGAGATCAGTTTAAATAGCTTCATTCTACTTTCAGTTCCTCGGCTTTTTAGGGCTACATTATATCCTTGTCAACACGATGGTGGTCCCCCTTGCCGGATGAAGAAGGCATGTGCTGAAGCCCAGCCTGGCAGCTCTGTACAATAGGAACAGAATGTAGATGGCCGAGGTGAAGGCTGGAGGAGGAGGACAGGCAGCTTTTAATGTGCCGTGAAGCCCAGGCCACACATGCAGGTCTAGACAATGCCAGTGGGAAGACTGCAGCCTCTTCAGCCCTCTCAGCTAATCAGCTCCTGCCATTCAGGCCCTCCGGACTGCGCTGCCCATATAAAGGGGGCTGAGGATTGAAGGATTCAGGATTACTGAACAAGCCCAGCAGCCACAAAGCCTCGCCCAGCACAATCCTCAGACGGCTGCTTCCACACCCCAAAATGAAAAATCGCAGTGCTCAAAAACCTGACAATGAAGAAAATACGCTCAACTAGCATAATTCATTAATATCAAAACATGCTTAACAAAACTCATTTTAGTGCTGCTAAATGTTAATATCTCCCAAGGTCCTTTCTTTCCCTATTTACTTGCTCCTTTTCTCTTTTGCAGGAGGTTCTCACGGAAAAGCACTTTTCACTCTAACAAGGTCTCTCTTTGGAACAGCATCTTTAAATTATTTAAATACCCATCTGGTAAACAATGTGGTATTTTTAACAATAAGGTGAAAATCTTGTCACTTTCTGAACTAATCCCTAAGGAATTGTTGAAATCTGCAGTTGGGTTTATTGTTTAATTGATAACAAGGAGTGCTTGAGGAACTCTGTGCATTGCGACTCGATGATTAAAAACAAACTGGTAAGTATCAAATCCTACAGGGAAAAGAAGGCCTGCATACTCCCCCCCCTCCTCACCCCCCCCCACACACACTCACAGAGTAACTGTTAAATATACACAAAAGTGCTTTTTCCATTGACTAAATGTGAAAGGGGAAAGAAAAAAAAAAAGCTCATGTCAGAAATAAGACCACACCTGCATTTTAATAGTATCTGCATAATATTCCTTCACATTACAAAAACAAAACAAAAACAAACAAAAGAAAACCACTCACTCTTCACAAGAGCCACCCATAACAACCACCATTTTAACCATGTCTGTCAAGGCAAAACCTGGGAATATTCACACACACCCGTATCAACAGCTGAGTGCTCCTCCTGGAGCTCCTGGCATGCTGCAGCTTAGCATCCCACGAAGCAGTGATGGTGAAGAAGCACCTCCACCATAAATAATCCCCCTATGTAGACATATTTGCCAAAGGACTGCGCTCACAAATTATTGACACCCTTCAGCAGTGACCTCCTGGCAATGAGGCGATCTCTCAAGCAGTGGAGTGGTTCACTCCAGGTGAGACAGCTGTCTCTGCCATGCAGCAAGGAACTGCAGCTCCCTGCCCGACTGCTCTTACGATGCCCAGCACTGCCTGCATATGCACATCCATAAGTAATCCATAAGCATCCCCTCCCTGCCCTACTGAAGCCTGCAGCAACCTTTTGAAAGATGAAGAATCATTTTGCCCTCCCTTCCCAACTATATCTTTTAACTGGAAACACAGGTTGCCATAGAAGGCACAGAAATTTGACAAGAGACAGCAGGAAGAGCTGCAGAGACAGAATGGCTGTTTGCCAGCTTGGGTACCGCAATCACAAAGATGACAGCAACTTATTTCTGTAGGAAAGATGTCGGTTAGAGCTCTCAGAGACAATAGCTTTGCTCCTTCTCTGCGCAGGCATATGTTCACTTCTGACAGACCTGATTTAAAACTTCTCGCTGTCATGGCAGTGTTGGTAAAAGCCTTAACCATAGTTTTTATGACGCTATTAAGTTTTCGTCATTTGTGGGTTTTGCAGTATATGAATACTATAGATGCCACCTTAATTAAAAGGTCTTGTCATCCTGTGCAATTAAAAAGAGAAAATGTACTCTCCTATGAATAGCCAGGAACAAATTGAGCGAGCTGCATTATACACGCTAAGTACACAGCAATTTTGTGCCTCTTCCTGTACCACATATATCCTCCAACATTTAGTACTTCCTAATAACCCTGTTACAATGTTTTATGTATAATTGACTTGCAGAGTACTAGTGCCACGACATCTCTGGCCATTAGTGACAACTAACTTAAACAAAGTTCTACTTTGCAAATACCTACAAACTTGACATACACGGAGTGCACAAGGAAAACTGTTTTCTCTTAGGATTTTCCATGTACAAATGCTTCATAAGAAGGCTGGCCATTCTGTCTTGATGGAAAGAATCTTTTAAAGACAGTCTCTTCCCACACGAAGGACACATAAGATGAAAACCACTAAAACCAACTTTAATACCAGGGCATCTATTTAATTGGAGAGCATATGCATATAAAGTAGACTGCATAGAGCACTCACAGTCTATATGTAAAAATGTACTTGACCAGCTCACTGCAGTGCGTTCCAGCAGATGGTTATCAGCAGGTGTCCCCACTGTGAAGGTGAATGTGTTTGCAGTCCACGAGTCTGGCCCATTCTTTCCATCTTGACTCCACCTCAAGGTCTTTCAGGACAACCAGGCAGCAGGTGACTGGCTGTCTGGGGGTCTGTGCCCAGAGAAGGACCGCCCTCAGGAACCACTATCAACTTCCGACAGTGAGAAAAGGGTATCCTGCATCTGTTTTCCACTTATACCCTCAGTTCTCAGGGCTTTATATAGATAGGGCAGGCAGGAAAGTCAGACACAGCTCCTCAGGCCAGTTGGACTGCAGCACCCAGTTCAAGCTACCTTATCCACGCAAGTGACAGGTAGGCACTGACCAGTGCTGTGTGAAGTAGAAGGGCAATGGATCACATTATCTTCTTCAGTGAAACCCAGACGTCACTTAGACCTTTTTGCCATCCCTGCAATATGATCACAGGATAATTTGTATTTCTTGAGATTTGCCACTTGAGATGACAGAGACGAAACTTGCAGGAATTCTGACAGACACTGCTGTAGGTCTGAGAAGCACAGCTATTGTCCCTGGGTCATAAAAATCTGAACATATACCCACGCAGAGGTCCCATACAATTCATCAGTGAGTGACAGAGACCATTACCATTTATAAAACATACCAGTCCCACTGATGTCAACAGCAGAACCTTCTGCTTTGGGACTTTCATTTAAGTGATAAATCTTCATTTGCACAGAGATCTTATTCACTGAAGTGCTGGGTAAATTAGGCTCATGGGTACAGGCAAGACATTTTATCTCAGAAGTCTTTCCCATCTGCAAAGGTGACAAAAGCATGGAAAACACTTTTTTCCCTTTGCCTTGCAGATAAATATAACCATCTGTTCAGAGAGCTGACACCCACCACCATCTAAACAAGTACCACGATGGATTTGAGGGTAGCATAAGACAGCCTGAGCTTGGGGGTTGGAAAGATTATCAGCAGAACACACGATGCTCTCATCTCTCTGTCAGGGGATGTTCTTTGCCTTCCTTCCTAGGTGCTGTGACTCACCCAGGAGTTCCCCACACAGCTGCTCTAGCTTCTGGGGAGATCTTCACAACCTGCACAGAGGCTCCTGGCTTGCTGCCTTGTCCCTGAAGTGCCCAGTGCTCCCCTGCAGAAGGAAAATCTAAAGCTGCTCCTTGAAAGAAGCTTTTCCTCTTACATCCATGCCAGCAGCCGTCTTTAGGGCCTAGAGGACCCCAAGCACCTGTTTTCTGGCTTCGATGAGCCTGCAGCATCTGCTTTGAAGTGATGCAGGTTTGGGGAGTGTCCTGGGGCACTTCTAAGCTACACAGACAAGTAACAACTGCTGCAGCTTAGACAAGCATATGCTCCAGAGAAAGAGACACGTTCAAGACGAGGAATAGGCCCAGCAAAGCAAAGGGGAAAGTTTTGGAAGGAACTGAAGGAATGCTGAGGATGTGGAAAGCTACAAAGCAAAAAGAAACAGTCCTAATGTCAGTGATAGCATTAACTATCCAACAGCAAGCTAATTAACATTCCTATTAACAAGCTATTGGCCAATTAGAGTAAATATCTTGAGACATGACTCTGAGACCCAGGGTCCTGCTTGAACCCAGCAGCCAGCGAGCAGCTGGAGCAATGTGGGGAGTGTCAGACCACTGCGTATGGGTGATGGATCCCCACTGCTGCCAGCACATGCCTGCCCCCCTGCGTGTGCTTTGTGTTACCCCTCCCTGGACACGTCTGCAGAAATCACCACCTCAGAATCGTTGCACATAACAGCAGAGCCCTCAGTGCCGCTGATAGCCTTGGACAGAAGGCTGATGGCAACACTGGTCCTGTGAATGCAAAGCAGTACTTTGTACATTTATCTATCTTTTCAACATGCATCACCATGTAACTTCTTAGAAATCCCTGTCTGTCTTCCCCCCTTACAAAGCAGGTAAGGCAGTAACACACCAGTAATGCCCAGCCACCCTCCAAAGATCCCTTGTAACACAGCCTCCAGGTGCTACATCGTTATAAGCTGTGGGTTTGAGACTGAAAGCTGCTCTCACAGAGGTTTTCCCTGAGAGCTGGCCTTGAATTACTGTCAGCAGACTCTTTTCCCTCAAAGTCACTGGTAACAGATTAGAGTTAGTACAAAATAATAATAATCCCTGAATGCTGCAGTATCTTGTCCCGATCAGAAATACACAACAGTCATTGATAAGGGAACTGATCTCTCATTCAGCAGTGACAGAACTGCACATCCTTTGTATAGGCTGCTGGCACCTGTGATCCACTTGGAGTCATCCTAACGCTCAGTGGCCACAGGTACACACGTGGATGTGCCATTCTTAAATAATGCATCACCCAAGGACAGAGCTGAAGCAGAAAGTCTGAGCACAGATAAACAGGCTCACAGCTTTGCTGAGAGATGTGCTACACACCAGGAGGCCAAGCAGGCAGCTACCATTCTTAGCAGGGCTCCCATCCATGAAAGCAAGAATAATTCATAGGAAGTGGCTTCAGAGTAGATCAAAGTACACCAGAGACAGGGGGAATCATATTTTGGGGAAATATATGCATAAACAGCACATTTGGGCAACTCTGCATTGGTAAAATGCTATTTCCTCCCTCCAGTTAAGCCGTAGCATCTGTCTGGTCTGAGCAGCTGAAGTATCACTCAGATATGAACTATGCCACCTTCTGTACAACTCTGGGTAAACATACACTGCTTCAGAAGTCAAATAGAAGCATACCTCAGATCACAAAAAAAAAAAAAAAGAAGAAAAAAAATCACTGCAGCCACACTCTGGTTTACTGACCACCATCAGCACTAAGCTGTGCTGTTCACTGCAGTTACAAGGTACTTACTTACATACTTCCTAACAACAGTAGGTTTCAACACAGGAAGGAAAAAATGACTGAGTCGCTCTGTATTTGACTGCTCATAGAGTATCTCAGATCACTGCTACACATACACACACACCCCCATTTGGCAACACCTTGATTGCTTCCAGCATCCAGAGCACAACTTTACTTTGTAAAACTAATCAGCGACCAGTGACACTCGGCATTCCACCCCAGTGACCCAGAATGCAAGCAAGAAAAGAACAAAACAGAGAAGAGAGGCTAAGTAAGCAGGAGGCCACGGAGCTCAGAACCTGGGGGCACCTGCACAGCCCCCCCTGAGCTCAGCCATCAGCCTCTACACAGGGCTCTCCCGTGGCAGCACAGGGGGCTCGGTTCCCCCTCACAACCTGCACAGCTGAGAGTTCCTGAACAGTGCCACGGTTTTATTTACTCTCAATTAATCATGCTCAACTGTAAACAAAGTGCCTGTTTTAGTTCTGCTGACAATTATCCACTTGTCAACATCTCCCTCAAGTACCTTCAGCATCTGGCAACGCCACGGCACCGCTACATCAGAACGAGCATTTTGCCTCCATAAAAACGCAGGCACGCGGCAGGTTTTCAGCTGTTTCCCGGCCATCAGCCGCCAGACCGCACTGCTGCTGGTGCCACCAGGGTGCAGAGCGTGCGTTTTCTGGGGGGAGAGGGGGTGGAAGGAGCGCCAGCGGAGTACCGAGCCGTGAGGAGGTGCCGCGGGGTGGTGGGAGCTCCCCGCCCTGTGCCGGTCTCCACAAGAGGGCTGGTGTTCGTGCTCTGCAACCTGAGTGCCAGCCACCGACACATCCCTACCTGCACGCTTCCAGAACACCGTAAAAACCCTTCCACTCTTTGTTCTTGGGCCTGCGCTCTCCTCAGACCCCCGGAGTTCCCTTTCCGGCGTGAATCCTTCCGATTTAAGTTTTTAAGACGTAATTAATCCCACCGGCTCAAAATGCTTCCTGTACCTTAACGCAGCCACCCCGTCCTCAAGTGGCAGCGGCACAGCCCGCCCGGCACCTGGAGCCCCTGGAACCCAGCCGGAGCACCGCCCGGCCAGGAGGAGCCGCAGCCACTCCCCAACCCAACCCCGCAGCTCACCAGAGCTTCCACGTGTTGGCACCGCGTGAAGCCCACGCTGTGTCTCAGACGGAGCGGGCAAAGCTCGAAGCTGAGGGGGCGCACCTCGCGCTGTGCCCTTCCTCGGGCCGTGCCCCCAGGTTCGAGCAGCAGCGCGCTCCGGCTGGCCGGGCTCGAGCTGTGCGGATGGGAGCAGCAACCCAGGCCGAAGCGTTGCCCCACGCTTTCGCCTTTAACCCCCGCCGCCACGTGCAATTAATTGAGATATCTTTTATACTTGATGTGTTGCAAAATTAACGCCTAATTTATGTAATTAGTCAATTAGCTCTAATTCTAGCATATGGTTCCCAATGCCCAGAAGGTGTTCTCGTTTCCCAGGTACTTATTTAGATGTCACGAAACGCAGCCAATTAACGCTACACGGCCGTAGTCCCGGCCCTGTTCCGCTCCCGCTGAGCGCGCGGCCTCTCCCGGCCCGGGTAGCGCTGGGCGGGCTGCGGCCCGTCGCGTCCGGCGGAGGGGTTTTGTGCCATTAATATTTGACGGCAAGTGCTTCCGAGGGAACGGTTGTTTGCTTTTGCGAAGTGCAACATCGCACGGACGGCTTTCTCAAATCGCTGCTCTCGGTACGAGGCGTCCTGGAAAGCCGAATCGCGCTCCCGCCCGGCCCCACGGCTCCGAGCGCGGTCCAACCGCGGCGATGACGGCCGCAGCCCCACGCGGGCGGGCGTCGGGCAACGCGTGTCCCTCTTCCGGATAAATTAATGAGCGATTTAATTAATAAAACCAGAGAGCGGCGTAAATGCTATGATAATGAAGTTAAATGAGCGCGCAGTAAAATATTCACTAATCCGGCACATTGGCAAATGCCCCCTTAATTCTGCTGAGCACTAAAAGGGTTTTGAGCACCATAATGAGATTCCTCTGTCTGCTAATTAATTGACACCCTCCTGAATATTCATATGCGCCGGCACCGCGACGTTCCTAATTGCGGTACGGAATGGATCTCAGAGGAAAGTAAATCGCCATAGACTTAATTAAAATAATGTATGCCGGCTCCAGCCCGCTGCCGATGAGGCATTTGGCACCGCGCGGCCCGAGGAGGCGGCACCCGGACCGCGGCACAAACGGGCGGCGGAGCCGCAGCCCCGCACAGCCCGCAGGGCCCCCCCGCACCGCCGCGGGGCCCGGAGCCGTTCGGAGCGAGGAGAGGCGGCGGGGAGGAGGGGGTGCTGCTCTGCGGAGGCGTGCGGAAGAGCGGTGGGGAGATGATGGGGGGGGGGAGGAGCAGCCACGTTTGTAAACTTTTCCTCGAGGGGAATCCGCTGCCTTTGAAGCTCGCGATCCGAACGCGCTGTTCTCTGCACCTCCACACCAACACGGCGAGCCGATGTCGGACACGGAGCCACGGAGCTCAGCAGCTCAAAGCGTGCCCGGCTGCATCCAGAGCGGAGCGCCCACCTCTGCCCGATCGCGGCCCTCGGCCCCGCACCGTGGCTGCATCCGCCGGGCCCGGGACGGCCGAGGGGCGGGGCTGGGGGTGCCGCACCCCCCCGGTGGGCAGCGGGGCGCTCGGCCTCCTCCCGCCCTACCGCTCAACAGAGGAAAAGGAAAATCGGTCTGTAGCAAAAGGAGGCTGTTAAACAAAAATCACCACAGGTTAGAAACTAAAAAGAGTTTATTTGAAGACATACAAATGCATATTTATTATACACATGTAGGCATTAACAATGTAAATTACACCGCCAGCGCTTGCTGGTTGTTTATTCATTAGATCTTTAGAAAATCTACATTGCCTGCAGACAGCGGGAGGATAATGCTACATACGCGCGCAGAGCCGCAGCCCGCGCCGTCCCGCCCGGCCCGGCGGCTCCCCGCTCCCGGGACAGCGGCCGCCCCGCAGCGCGGCGGGAGGGAGCGGGCGGCAGTCGGGGCGGACGAGGCCCTGCGGGCGCTGCCTCTCGGCTGCTGCGCGGCCGCGTCCGGGCCGAAGGGCAGCGCTTGTCGTTCCCATCTCCGTTCGCCAAAAGAAAATGAGACCGCTAAGTTCTTTCCCCTTCAGCTGATTAAACGCCGTACGGTTAGAGCGTCGCTCGGTAATAAAGGCAAAGTGAAAAACAGGAGCGAAGAAATCGCTGCGGGTAAAGCTTTCCTAAACTTAGATCCGAAGAACCTCTCCCAGGAATAAAATATTAAAGCGGGTTAATGTGTTTTTTTGCTGCGGAGCTGCGGAGCTGAGGCTGACGGGAAGACGCGAGCAGCTCTGGCCTCGTGGCGATGGCACCGGGGAAATGAGGCCGACGGAGGGACGGAAGGGCTCCGGGAGCTCCGCGGCCTCAGCAACCGCGGCCGGTGCCCGGCCTCGCCGCAGGGCCGGCTGTGCCCCGCCCCGCCCGTCTCCTCCCCGCCTCGCTCTACCCTGCCCTTCCCGAGCGCGCGGCGGTGCGGCCGCAGCCCTCGGGCAGCCCCGGCGCTTCTCTGGGAACGCGCTGCAGCCAAGGCGCTGCCCCCCCTCCCCCGCCCCTACGTCCCCGCCCGGCCCGGCCGCGTGGGAGGGAGCCGCCGCACGGGAGGTGCCGTGCCCTCGCGGGGCGGCTCCGTGGGTGGCGGTCGAGCGGGCGGCGCGGAGACGGAGGAAGGCAGGGAGAGAGGGAAGGGAGGGGGGCGGTGGCGGGAGGCCGGGCGGAGCACCGCCCCCAGCCCGGGGCGGCCTTCCCGGCCGTGCCTACACGGACTCGCTCGCAGCCGCGCCCCGCCGTCGTTGTGGCCCTCAGGAAAACGTAGCTCTGAAAGTTTGAGCGGGTTTGAGCTCCGCAAATGGTTATTGCCTTCGGTAATAGGGGAAGAGGGCAGTTCACTCTTGTGGCTGTGCAGTATTAAAGTCATTGTCAGTTGTCAGCTCAAAATGTTTGGCCGAGTCATATTGCAGGCGCTCACAGGTGTCTGTGCAGGAAGCCCAGCACGGTAGGCACTGTGTAGGTCTGCACAGCCCGGTACAGCACTGTGTAGGTCTGCACAGCCCGGTACAGCACTGTGTAGGTCTGCACAGCCCGGTACAGCACTGTGTAGGTCTGCACAGCCCGGTACAGCACTGTGTAGGTCCGCACGGCGCTGCTCGGCACGCAGCCCCGGAACCGCATTCACCGCCCGCAGCGACAGCAGGAGCTCAGCCCCAGCTTTATCCTCCCCTCCCGGTTGTGTAAGGGACGGCAGCACAGGAGCAGACTGTGGGAGAAAGTGTAAGCGAGAGGCAGTCCGATAATTTAAATTAACTTTATGAAACGGACCGAATTGGAAAGAAGAGCACATTAATTAAAAAGAAAAGAAAAAAAAAAAAAGGCAAGAAAGGAAAAAAAAAAAAAAAAAGGAAAAAGAAAGGAAAATCAAGTTTGCTCCACCCAGCTATTAACCAAAACACAATACCTTTTTCTGGGTGGTACTGCACAGAAGTTGATTCAGTTTTGACAATGTTGTTTAGCTATCATTTGCTATTTTGAATGAATGGGAGCAATCCCCCTTTTTACAACAGTTGTTTCCTATTATGGAGAGGTGCAGCAGTTGAGGGCAGACATGTGAAAGTGGCTGTTTGATTCCCTTTTTCATCCCCCTGACCCTGCCTTTGTCCCTCCTCACCCTGGGAATGTCACGCCTCACTACTTCACTTTGAGATGCTCTAGAAAGTGGCTTTGTTATTCCCTTTTAGACATACACGAAATTGTTCTCATTCCCCCTGCTGTAAAAGATACTTCAAATTGGGACTCGGTTCACAAGTGCAATGCAATTTGGCTTAGCTCAACCTTTGTTCTGCTTGTACAAATGACCAAACAGTGCACACATTATACAGTTGATCTACTGCTCCCTTTACACCAGAGTTAGGGGCTGGGAGAAAAGCAAGTTAATCCCTTCAATACTAAGGTGGCATTTTCAATATTTCCTACAATGCGAAAAAGAGAAGAGAGGGCAGCTTAAAATGCGACATTTATCTAAAAGAGAAGATTAAAAAAAAAAAAAAAAGTTTTCGAGGCCTCCTCTGGTACTTCTCCAGAAACATAAATAAATAAACCATCACAATCCAAACGTGGAAATACTCCAGGGGGAAGGGAAATGGAAAGGGGAAAAGAAGGCTAGGCTCTCAGGGCAATAACGGGGAGAAGCAAGTGGGACCCACTTAAAAAAAATTTGGTAAAATTTGGTGCTTGGCAAACGCCGGGGTGGAAAGAGGCGCTTGGAGAGATCTTGGCACGCAGGCGGTGGCCCGGGGGAACGAGAGGGCCAGGCACTCCAGCAGGGCCCGGCCACAGAAGGGGTGGCACGGCCGCCGGCGTGGAGAGTTCAGGCACCCGCTCTGTCTGCCCCCTAAAACCCTGGCATCCCTCAGAATTATGCCAGGGAAGTCCCGGCAGGTCTGGGGGAGCGAAGCCCTGTGGGAAACGGGCTCCGGTCGGGGGCCTGTTGTCCCGGATCAGCGCGGGATGAGCGGCTTGTCCCCGGCCTAGGGAAGCCGCAGCAGGGAGCGGGACCGACCCCTGCGCGGGGCCTGGCGCAGCCATCGGGGCTTTGGAGTTTAGGGAAAGTCCGCGTCGGACTTCCTTCGGGCCCACGTGTACGCAAGAGGACGGCTCCCGGGCCGGGGAGCTCGGACCGCAGTGGCCGCCTCCCTCGGAGTTGGGTCGCGGTAGATCCCGGGAGGAGGAGGCCAAGCGGTGCCAGGGCATCCCTCCCGGCACAAAAGCCGAGAAGGGAGAGTGTTCTGGGACACGGGCACGGCCCGGCCCCAGCCGAGGAGCTCGCGGCGCCGACATCGCACCGGGAGGGCCGAGCCCCGCGTCCGCCCCTTCGCACAAAGCGCAGCGCAGATCCTCGGCGCGGTTACGTGGCGGCTCGGACGTGGGTTCGGGGAGCCGCTCTCGGCTCAGCGCTGACAAGCGGGGGGAGTTTGTTTAGCGCTGAATGCGAAAGGAACAAAATCCTTTTGAAAAGGCGCTAAGTAGTTTCACGCCAAAGTGGCAGATTTGGTAAAGAATGTGCGGGGGGACAAAGCCCCGCCGCGCTCACTCGGCCGCAGTTCCCAGCGCGGCCGCAGCGCTCCGGGCCGCCTCCCCGGGAGCCGAAGCGGGCGGAGCAGCGGCACAGCCCCGCGCCCTTCGTTCCGCTCCCTCCTGGCCCCCCGGGCGGCACGGAGCAGAACCATTACAAAAAAAAAAAAAAAAAAAAGTAGCCCACAGAAAAG